ACTTCTTTGAGGAGCCTCCACATAGAAACAAAAGCTGCTTAAATCCTCCACTGTGTCCCTTCATAGATGGAATTTTGCCTCCTACATATGGAGACAAAGGATGATAATTATCTGAACATGAGCATGTTTGGCTTGCTTCAGTTAGTGTTTTAAATTGTTGTGCTTAGGGCAGGCATGGTGGCTTACGCCTGTAATCCCAACACTTTGGGAGGCCAAGGTGGGCGGATCACCTGAAGGTCAGGAGTTTGAGACCAGCATGCCCAACACGGTGAAACCCCTTCTCTACCAAAAATACAAAAATTAGCTGAGTGTGGTGGCAGGTGCCTGTAATTCCAGCTACTTGGGAGGCTGAGGCAGGAGAATCATTTGAACCTGGGAGGCAGAGATTGCAGTGAGCCAAGATCCCGTGACAGCACTCCAGTCTGGGTGACCGAGTGAGACTCCATCTCAAAAGAATACAATTAAAAAAATAGTTGTGCTTAAATAAAAATTGGTTTGCTGTACTCCTCATGTTGTTGTTTGACTCAGCTCTCTTTCCTTAGTTTCCCTTGCCTGTGTGTCAAGGGTAGCGGTGTGTTCTGCTCTCATCAGGTATTTAATGAAAATACCTTTACAAATATATTACATACACATGCACACTGACCCCAAACTGCTGGTTCCCAGGCCCTCAGCTGCAGCCTGACATAGAAGTAGATGCTTCAGAATTTCAGCCCAGGGACTGGCTGCAGCCTCCACTGGGCCTGCTGTTGTCCTTCTGTAAGGCTGCTTTTCCACCAGGCAGCCTGGCAAGATGTCCTTTTGTCTCTGCTCTCATCACCTTCCCTGGCTTCCAAGTGTATTTTGTGATTTTTCAGAATTATTTACATGGTTCTCCCTGTATGTTTTTTTTTTTTTTTAAGACAGAGTTTCACTCTTGTTCCCCAGGCTGGAGTGCAATGGAGGGATATGGTCTCACCGCAACCTCCACCTCTTGAGTTCAAGCGATTCTCCTGCCTCAGCCTCCTGAGTAGCTGGGATTACAGGTGTGCACCACCATGCCCAGCTAAATTTTGTATTTTTTAAATACAGAGACAGGGTTTCTCCATGTTGGTGAGGCTGGTCTTAAACTCCTGATCTCAGGTGATCCACCTGCCTTGGCCTCCCAAAGTGTTGGGATTACAGGAGTGAGCCACCATGCCCGGCCATGCTTTTTTTTTTTTTCCTTCTTCTTCTTTTTTTTACCTTCTCCATTCTTGTGTAAAATTCTATAGAGATCAGGGAGGGAAACCTACCATCTCTCTCTCTCTCTCCGCCTTCAGCCCTTTTCTCTCTGACACACACACACACACACACACACAGTGGCAGGCAGACTTCATCTCTTCCCTGACTTTGCCGTGCCCCCAAATAGCAAATCAAGGTCACTCCCCTTTTAGGAGATGGGTCCCTCCTTTTGATGCATTCACCCTCGCTGAAGGGCGGAAATTCTGAAGCATCTACTTCTGTGTCAGGCTGCCGCTGAGGGCCTGGGGACCAAATGTTTGGGGTCAGTGTGTGTGTGTATGTCATGTATTTGTAAAGGTATTTTCCTTAAGCAGAAGGTAGCTGTGATTGTAGGTTAGAATTCTAAATGTGAGTGTGGGGGGGAGTTGGGGAGTGAGGAAAAAAAGTCCTGTTGTGACCTTTGGGGACGGGGAGTCCAAGAGAAGTCTTGGTCCTTGCCTTTCTGGGAACACTCAGTCTTTGTGGGGAAAACTCCAGGTCAGATGAAGTGAACCAGAAGGAACAATGCAATTCTTCACAAACCAACATATAAATACTTGCAAGTTAAGTCACGCAGGGACACTGGTCAGCTTCAAAAGGAGAGCGGAATTGGGAAAGGAGTCGGTAGAATTGAGAGAGGAGAATTTGGGAAAGCTTTTCGGTGAGAGCGGTGCCTTGAGAGGTGGGCTGGGAACCGTCGCTGAGAATAAGGCACAGGTCAGCCCCCTTTCCCCGCGTCTCCTCCTTGTAAACCCCCAGCCGAGGCGAGCTGGATGAAGCGCTCCCTGGGCAGGCCTGGCTCTCCGTGTCCCTCCAGCACCTGACCCCGCCGGCTCTCACAGACCCCTTCCTCCACGCCCACTCCTCCCGGCTCTCCCGCTATAATCTCCTGACATCTCTTCAAATCCAATTATCGAATTAATTGACGTGCGAACCGAGAGGCAAACAGAAAGGGGCGGCAAACACCGGGCGGCTCAGATTTATCCTCCGGCCTCCGCAGGGCCCAGCCGGACGAGATTTACTGGTCGTCGAACACGGCGACAGTTCAAACCTTTGATTAATCATGTTTTTCTGCCGGCCCCATAATTTAGTTGCTCTCTTTCCCTCCCTGCCTTTTTTTATCAGTGGAAACAGAGACGGAGTCCTCATCAGCTTCAATTACAAATATTAAGGCCCCGGACAGCACTTTGACAGAGAGGCGGCCAGCATCCCCCTTCGTCCCGCCCCCCTAAATCATCCCCGAATTAACATCACAATCGGCTGCTGGCGCGAGTTCAGATTTAAATGGTGGCATATTGTTCGCGGACGGTCTAGCTGAGACCCGCGCGCTCGCAGCTCCCGCGGCGGGCCCCGCCTCTGCCCCCGCCGGCACCTGCGGCCTCCCGGGAGGCTGTGACTCAGGTGCCGCGGGAGGCTCCGGGCCCTGTCTCCAGCAGGGGGATGCAGGCAAGGGCGCGCTGGGGCGGGGGCGGGCGCGCTGCAGAGAGGGGTCGGGTATGGGGCGAGTCAGGAAGAGGAAGAGGAACCGCAGATGCCAGGTGGCGGGAGAGGGGCTGGGGCTGCGAGGAGACAGGTGCGTTTGGTCAGGATTGGGGGTTAGGAGGGGGGAACCCGCTTTCTGCAAATTAGGTGCAAACGAAGGCTCAGAATGAGTGGATTTGGGAATGCCACTACACAGACCTTTGGGTCTGGTATTTTGACCCCTCGCTGGCTCTGCAGGAGGTCGGGAGATCTCTTGCTCCTTGAGTCATGCGATATGAAGGAAGAGTGGAGCAAGATTTCTCCATTTCCTGATCATGTTAGAGAAAACTGGTCTTAAACTACAGCCGGAGGGCTTGAAGACAGCCTTCTGGAAGACCTGGGGTGAGGTTCAAATACCTCCCCTCCCTGCCCCCGGGAGGCTTTCGGACTAAAGAACCTCGAGATAGCCAGATTTCTCCGAAGGCTTTTGGGGGGACATATATAGAAAAGGAGAGTCATTCTCCCGACCCTATCAATCCTTTGAGAATGAAGGAGCTCAGGAAGAAACGTGTCAATCCAGGAGTCTAGGTTTCCAGCTATTTTCCTATTCACCTGTCTCATCCCTCTTGACCGCATCAATCTCCAGACCCGATTTCTGCCTAGCAACATTACAACCAATCAAGATACAATTAAACCTGTCAGTTCGGCTCATCCTTAACTGGGATTGGCTGCTAGCACTATGCACATCCCAAGTTTTCATTGGCTGATGGCCACCTGTATGGAAATGAGAATTACCCGGGACTCAGGCCCTTCTCAGCAGTGCGGACCTGTGGCTTACTGTGCTGAAACCTGCAAGGTCGGAGCCGAGACTCCTGGGCTTGCTTTTTGTCCTGCCTTTCTTCTCTTCCTCAAAGGAGATCTCTTGAACATTCCCTTTTCCCTCTGCGCCCCTGCCTAGGGCCTAGTCTGAAAGGAATGCGACCAAAAAACCAGAAATAATGCGGATCTGCACGTTTTCTGCATCTTCTTTGCATTCTCTAGGTTCAAGATTTTGCCCCTTCCCTCCAATGCCGCCACTGTTCTAGCCCCTTCCACGTCCATCTAAAGGGCGGTTTCTCTCCGTGTGAAGTTCCTCCGTCCCTGCCCCGGGTTTGCCAAAATCCTCCCTTCCGGCTCAGCTTCCTCAATTCCCGACCTCCCCCTCCTCCATTTCAAGATCCAGGCATCTCGCACAACAATCCAGTTTAGGAGGGAGTTAGAGGGGGAGAGGACACCCCCCCCCCAAAAAAAACCTCCATCCTTTCTCCCCATCCATTTTCTCCGAGGGAGCCGAGTTTGACAGCGAATTCATTCCGAGCGGGGAGGGTGATTTATTCTTCAAATATACCGACAAGTGCGGGCATGATGGAGCCCATTAAAATGTTGGGAGATTGTTTTTATGATTGAAGTCTGTATTACTCCAACCATAAAGAAAGAGAGCAAGGAGTCATTAGCATTTTCATGATGGTGTATTTCTGCTTGTCTCCGCGCCATCACTCATCTTTACTGCCCGTCCCTTTGCTCTCGCGCTGCTACAACGAGGAGAGACTGCAGCCTGAGTTGGGGCTGGGGGTGAGGGGAGACGGGGGCCAGAGATCCGCCCCCCTCCCCACCCCCGCCGCTTTGCCCTTCACGCCAAATCCTCACTCTCCCTTAGACGCAGATCTGGGGTGAGAGGCTGGACACAGAGGTAGTGCCTCGGCTTCCTTCTGCAGCTCCCCCTGCCCCTGAAGGGTAGGAGCAGGGGGTCCTGCCCAAATGGTACTTGGAGATCTGGGCAGGGTGGGGCTGGTGGAGGGATTACACCCCTTTCTTTCTCTGGTTCTTCTCTTCCTGACCTACACTCAGAGCTCTTCAGGATTATCCACATAGGAGTAAATACCGGAATTCCTGGCTGAGTGCCTTGGGTTGCAGACATCAGAGTAGGACAGGACAAGAAGGAGGAGACCCCAAATCCTTGGGTTTGGAAAACTGGGTTGGCAGGAAGTTGGGAGCCTGGACATTTGGTTTCTGTCTCTGCTATCTCCTAAAGGGCCCTTTGACCTTGCTCAGGGATAAGTTCAAACCTCCAGTCTCCACCTTGATTCCCCAGCTCCTGCTCCCTCCTAATTCCTAAATCCTTGACTCGTTCTACACAGTCATTTACAGCCAGACTCTTCGGTATCCCAGGGAATTAATTTATACCCTCCATGCAAATAATGGAGATCAAAATAGGTACTTCCAAGGAATGAACTTGGAGACGGTTATGGGTAAAACACTGCCTCCTGATGCCCGAGGATTATTGGAGTCACCTGTCCTTATCTCTGTCTTCTTTTTTTGAGATGGAGTCTCACTCTGTCTCCCAGGCTGGAGTGCAGTGGCACGATCTCAGCTCAATGCAACCTCTGCCTCCCGGGTTCAAGTGATTCTCCTGCCTCAGCCCCTGGAGTAGCTGGGATTACAGGTGCGCGGTGCCACACCTGGCTAATTTTGTGTGTGAGTGTGTGTGTGTGTGTATTTTTAGTAGAGATGTGGCTTCACCACGTTGGCCAGGCTGGTCTTGAACTTCTGACCTCAAGTGATCCACCCACCTTGGCCTCCCAAAGTGCTGGGATTACAAGCATGAGCCACCGCACCTGGCCTCGTCTCTGTCTTCTGATAACATAAAGAAGCATTCACTCCAGGTTGGGCACAGCCTGCCTGCATATCCTATTGTCCCCTATTTGAGTGGAGGTTGGTTGGCATGTAGGCTAGGTTAAAGGGTGATGGGGAAGAGGAGATAGAAGTAGTGGTGGTGAAGTGGAAGTGGTAGCTAGGAAGACATTAATGGTGATAATAACAATTAGTGGAGCCCTCTCCTGTTGATCTAGTGCTTTCCCATTTTATTTTAATTTATTTGAGATAGAATCTCACTCTGTTACCTAGGCTGGATCAGGACTCACTGCAGCCTCTGGGCTCAAGCAATCCTTCAGTCTTAGCCCCCAGAGTAGCTGGGTCCACAGGTGCATGCCACCACACCTGACTAACTGTGCTTTCCCAATGATGCCTCACAACAACCTGAGAGGTAGGTTTTATGTTCTTTATTTCACAGAAGAAGAAACCAAAGCTCAGGTTGGGAGATACCCAAGGACATTTAGGTGGTAAACTGAAGAATCAAAATCTGAACCTGGACTGTCTTCATCATCTGAAGCTACCTGAGAGGGAGTTCAGGGTCTCTAAAGTAGAAGCCAGGATGACTGTTAGCTCCGTATAGTTCATCTGCTTCATAAGAAAGTGAGGAAGTCTGTCTGGTAAGAAGACCTTAAGAATTTTGAGAGAAATTTTACTAGAAATATTTACCTCATGGTGATTGGGGCTAGGTATTTGGGTAGTTATTACCATTGCTGAGATCTACCTCTCACTCTCTCTCTCTCTCTTTTTTTTTTTTGAGACGGGGTCTCACTATGTTGCCCAGGTTGGAGTGAAGTGGCTATTTACAGGCACGATCCCGCTACTGATCAGCATGAGAGTTTTGACCTGCTCTGTTTCCAACCTGGGCAGGTTCACCCCTCCTTAGGCAACCTGGTGGTCCCCTGCTCCAGGTTGATGCTGAACTGGATGCTAAACATAGGGTGGACACCTGATCGGCATAGTGCACAACAGCCCAGAACTCCTGGATTCAAGCGATCCTTCAGCCTCAGCCTCCCAAGTAGCTGGGACTACAGGCACGTGCCACTACATCCCCGGCTGATCTACCTCTTTCTAACCTGTTAGTGAACATTTATTAAGCATCTACTATGTGTCTTCTTTTGATTGACCACACCCGGCCCTTTCCCCACTTCCCCTACTGAGATGGGTTCCTAATAGTGCTCTCAGGTCCTGGGCAGGGGTAGAGGCCCAGGAGAAAAGGGAGGTATGGAGGTGAGAGCCCCCGATAGCCTGCACAGTGCCCAGAGGCGGCTGCAGCGGTGGCTCTAGATTTATAGCTGCCCCAGCACTGATGTAATAAAAGCAAACGATCCTTTTCTGTACTAATTTCTGTGTAATTAGATCTCTCCTGGCATGGAAAGTGGGGAGTGGGGGTGGCCAGGAGGGGAGGGTGCCAAGGACTCTTCACAAAGTCCTCCTTGGGAGGAGGGACTGCTGGACACACATGGCTTCACATGGGGCAGGTTGGACAGATGGATCTGCATGCACTGTGATGCACACAGGAAAGCAAGGAGGTGGAGGAGCCTTGATGTCAACACACTTGTGCCACGGATGGGGACAGACAAATCTGGGATCCTGCACAAAGATCCTGGAGCCAGAGAATAACTCCTGGCTAGTCTGTACACATAGAAGATATTGAAATCCTCAGAGGAGCTGCATGCAGATTTCCCTGTGCTAAGCTAGATCTTAAGACCCCAGACCCCTGTTCAGAGAGGCATGAACAGCAGAGAATTCCTTCAGATTCATCCACATTTATATCCATAGATACAAAACAATATATACATCTGCTTGCATGAGTACATATACATATACATATATACACTTACTTGCATGAAAGCACATACACACTTCTCTTAACGAAATACAAAAATTACAAAGGAACTCAGCCAATGTTTGTTCTCTCTTCCCATCCTCATTGCTTGCCTACCTCCTATAGGCAGGAAACTGAAGAATAAAAAACAAGTCTTTCCTTCAGTAAGGCTTTCTTTAAAATACTTGTAGTTGGGCCGGGCACGGTGGCTCACACCTGTAATCCCAGCACTTTGTGAGGCTGAGGTGGGCAGATCACCTGATGTTGGGGGTTCAAGACCAGCCTGACCAACATGGAGAAACCCTGTCTCTACTAAAAATACAAAAAATTAGCCAGGCATGGTGGCACATATCTGTAATCCCAGCTACTTGGGAGGCTGAGGCAGGAGAATCACTTGAACCCAGGAGGTGGAGGTTGCAGTGAGCCAAGATCGTGCCATTGCACTCCAGCCTGGGCAACAAAAGTGAAACTCTATCTCAAAAACAACAACATCAACAACAAAAACCCCCAAAAAACTTGAAGATGGATTGAAGCCAAGAAAAAGATGAAGATTGAAGAAGAAATCAAGAAAAAATGTGGGGATGGTTAGAGGAGGAATGATTCTGGACTCTCCTCTCTTTTGAGAGAACAAAATCTCAGAGAGGAAAAGAACACCATTATTATCACTACTCCCTTACCCCGATCTCATGGTGACAAACAATTACTATGGGTATGGCAGTAACGCCGTTTGGAGCAACACTTCTACCTGGCTAAGTATTCATCATACACTTGAGTGTGTTTGTGGAGGAAGCTCAGAGGGCCTCCTATCCAATCTCCCTCTGTAGCCCGAATCTCTTTCACAGTAAGCCTGCTGGGGAAGCCAGCCAGCTTCTGCTTCAGTACTCCTGCTAAAATGGGCTCTTAATAACCAGTCCGCCCCTGTCAATGGACAGCTGTAGGGATCAGAATATTCTTTGGTGCAATTGAAATCTGTTTTCTCTTTAATTTCAGAATAGACTATTTCTAACTACCTGTCATATCTTCTTGAGTTATTCTAATGTTTTAATACCAGTTCAATCTAAGCATTAATTGTCCCCCTACAATAGCAATAACAGTTAGATACTCATTGGAAAATCAGGAGATTTTGATCTCCACAGATGACTGTCATGTACTTATCTTAAACCCTTGTTCTAATGGGTAATTCCTGATGAACCTGAGTAATGAAAATGTATCACAATAAAGAAAGATTTGTCATGCCTTGTTATCACTTCATAAGGCCATCCTTCTAGATACCTGCCATAACATCGGGATATTTCCATCCCAATAAAACATGACCATGATGTGCTTGGCTAATAAAAAGAAAAAAAGCCATGTATTAAAAATATGTTTAAAATGATTTGCATGAGTGGTGTAAATATAAACCCCCACCACCATCATTGTCAACATCCTCCCCAGTTTATTTGCCTTTTGAAATCCCTGCCTGACCTTGGGAGGTCGATAAAGGAAGGGGGAGGCAGAAAATTAGCATTTATTAAATGCTTACCATTGCTAGGCACTGTGCAAAACACTCACAATAACCCTCTGAGATAGGTATTATTATGCTCTTACAGGTGAGGAAATTGGGCTCAAAGAAGTTCAGGAGCTTGCTCTAGGTCATACAGCTAGTAATCACAGGATCAAGATTTCAGCCCAGGTAAGTGTGATTCCAAAGTCTGCACTCTTTCCCCTCCACTTGGACTGGTTACATCGACTTTGCCCTCAGCAGTGTCTCACTGAGTGGATCTACTGGTAAAGAGACATGCTGGGCTCAGTGATCCTTCTTAGACACCCAGAATCCCAGAGGAGAGCCAGAAGCTCCGAGCCCGACCTCTGGGGCTTCTGTGTTCTGTCACATTACTGCCTTCACCCAGGAGAGCCCACACATAATTGTGGGCACCATCACTGTTGTACGCAGTGTCTCAACCAACACACATTTGAACTCACACAGGCTGGCTGCACCTTCCCATCTCCCAGGCGGTGGTGTGTGCAGCCAGCAGGGGTCGCCGGCACACCAGGAATTACCACTTTCTGGGTTTGTCTCCTGGCCCAACAGGATGGAAACATTCCTTCTGTGTTCTTCTAGAATCTTACATTAATTCCTTGCCTTCCCCGCCTTCCCTGCCTTCCCCTCCTATCCCCCCAGACCCGGTAGGTTTCTTACAACAAACTGGGTAGTAGTAGCTCAGTAAGTAGCACTCTAAGCTGCTGAACCCCAACCTAGACCAGAGACCAGGGATTCTGGCAGTCAGTTCTGCTTTAGGGAGGGCCAGCGAGCTGATAAGAAGCCTGCAGCACCCAAGCTTCTGGTTCAGCCTTGGCAGGTGAGGACTCTCCCTCCCCTCAGTGCTTCCCCCAAACCTATCTCAGCACCTGCCACTATACCCTGCCTCATTGTCCATGTAAGCATCTGTCTCAGGCATCCTCAGACCCTGGAGGCCATTTAGCTCCCTCATCTTGGGAGGGCCCAAGAATGCAGGAGGAGGCAAATCTCTAGTGATCTGTGGCCAGGGAGTTTTGGATGAGAAATCATGGTTTGGGTAATACAGGGGAGGGACCCAGGTGCCCTGCCTTACAATAGTAATTGGGGCCCAGGTGCCTGCCATCTGTAGGAAAGAAGTCCAGACACTGTGGAGGTAGCTGTGTCTGCCTTTTGGGAAGGACATCTCTTTTGCGCACCTCTTCCCACCCCTGCTATAGCAACAGTGCCCCAGCTTTTCTATCCCCCATCTCTCTGTTGACCCCCTCCCCTCAACTCCTGGAGCCCAGTGATTGGCGGCTGCCGGCTGCAGGGCTAGCTAGGTTTATGGCTTTGCGGCAGCTGGGGAGAAAACGAGGCCAGAGACAGAAAAATGGAAACCTCCCAAGAAATCAAGGATGGCGAGAGAAAGAGAGAGGGAGTCAGAGATAGAAGCAGAAAGACTCTAAGAATGATAGAAACAAAAAATAAAAATGACGAGAGGCACAGACTGAAGCAGAGACAGATACAAAGGAAATTATAGAGATACTGATAAAAGATGATGAAAAGGTGATGGGGATGGGGAGAAGAGGGAGAGGAAAGCACAGGCAAAAACATTAGGATAAATTCTGGGAGTAGGAATGTGCATGGTTTTCTAGGGGGACAGAAATTACTGATAGTAGGGAAAGGCTGAGGCAGTCATTTAGGGACTCCTAGAAATCATTCCGTGATACAGAAGAGGCTGGAGGATCTTGCAGCTAATCCCAGTTCTCCCTGCACCTGTTCCAGGTCCATCCATCCACACACTCCTCCTGGAGTTGTTTTTGTGTGTTCGTGTGTTTTTAGACAGTCTTTCTCTTTCAGGCTAGTTCAGGCTAGGGTGCAGTGGCATGATCAGGGCTCACCTCAGCCTTGACCTTCTAGGCTCAAGTGATCCTCCTGCCTCAGCCTCCTAAGAGGGTGGGACTACAGGGATGCGCCACCAAGCCTGGCTAATTTTTATATTTGTGGTAGAGACATGGGGTTTCACCATGTTGCCCAGGCTGGTCTCGAACTCGTAACTCCAAGTGAACCACCTGCCTTGGCCTCCCAAAGTGGTGGGATTACAGGTGTGGGCCATCACGCCCTGCCTCCCTCCTGGAGTTTTAAGGCTATTGCAGGAATGTCCTTCTTAAAGATGACCCATGACCTAGTATGGAAGCATCATGTTCCATGTTCCATGAAATGCATGGGAAAACTGTCTGAGATTTGGGAGGAATTTTAATATTAGAGCTACCCTTTGTGGAGCATGAATTAACTTGCAAGGTTGTTAGTTCTCTGTCATGACATCTCATTTGGCACATACTGCTTTTACCTTATATTATGGCTATTTCTCTGCATGTCTTCTTGCTAATATATAAGCTCCTTAACAGCAAGATCTGTGTCAGCCCTTCTTTGTGGCTCCCACAGTGCCTTGTTCTTGTTTATTGAGTGAACCAATGAATGGCCCCTGGAGATGTTTAAGCAGAGGTTGGATGACTACCGATGAGAGATGTGGTCCAGGGAATTTCTGCACTGAATGAGTAGCTGGAAATATATCTCTAAGAGCTCTTTGGGTTTTGAGATTCTGTGAGTCCATACATATGAACTGGAGTTACTGGTTCTTTCTCTACTTTTCCAAATATGCAGAGGTAAGAGGAAAAGTGAGAAACTCAAGATTACAACATACCTACTGTGTGCCAGCCTTTGCACAAGGCATTTTACATATTTGATCTCATTCAATCTTCTCAATAACAGGCAGGTGTTAGCCACAGTTTGCAAAAAGGTTTAAGAGAGATGAAATGTCTATAGGGACCTAAAGCCTGGGTGATTTCCACAATGCCATCTTTTTTTTTTGAGATGCAGTTTCACTCTTGTTGCCCAGGCTGGAGTACAATGGCATGATCTTGGATCACTGTAACCTCTGCCTCCCGGGTTCAAGTGATTCTCCTGCCACAGCCTCTCAAGTAGCTGGGATTACGGGCATGCACTACCATGCCTGGCTACTTTTGTA